ATATATATATATATATATATATATATATATGGCTCAGTTGGTTAAGTGTCTGACTCTTGGTTTCGGCTCCGGTCATGATCGCGTGGTGGGTGACTGGAGCCCCACACTGGGCTCTGCACTGATGGTGTGGAGCCTGCTGAGGATTCTCTCTCTCCCCCTCTCTTTCTGCCCCTCCCTTGGTTGCATGTGCACGAGGACACTCTCTCTCTCAAAATAAATAAGTTAATTAAAAAAAAATGTGTATCTTGTAATGGCATTCCTGATGAACATGAGATCTTATCCTCACCACTAGGCCCTTGAGAATCAATGGTATAAGTGATAAGGCTTTCGACCCAGACGAACCTTGTTTCAATTCCACTTTCCAGTTGATCTCTCTGCATCTCAATTTGTTCATCTGTAAAACGGGGATGACGATATCTACATTCCAGGGTTGTTGTGGGGGTGTAAATGAGAAGAGTTCTCTGAAAGTCCTCTCCTCGTGTGTCAATCTCTGTCACCACTATATTAATCAAATTATTCATATAATTTGATTATTCATATAATTTGTTACCTAGTAACTAACCCATCATCTCTGTCCCACGTGACAGAAACTTTTTAAGGAAAGAAATTATGTCTTATGAATCTCAGCGGCTCTTGTACCTTGTACACAGAAAGTCCTCACTACGTGTGCTACCTTCCTCTTCTCTTTATCATATCACCGACATGTCGTAACAATTCCAGGATCATAACCAAGTATTTACAGGCATACAGCACTTTGTTTAGTTACACAAAATCTTAATTACACACCTCCCCACAAGGAAAATAACAGGTTACTGAGACATCACCAAAAGTAAGTTTATATAACTTAATTTGCATATTAGTAAAAAAATGACAGCCAGGAAGAAAACCTCTTCCATGGCCAGCCCATTCTATGTTCATCATTTCTTCACTCAGAGTGACGCTTTCCGTTGGTGGCACGAGCCTTGTTTAACAAGGCTAGTAACCTTGTTAAAGTGTTTACATTTGCAAACCACAAACTATTATGAAGATAATTTGGCAAAATGAAACAAGTGGAAGCGGTATACAGCATCATTTCCAAAGTCAGTAGAACGGGAGAACATCAGAGTGATGGTATCTCCATAGAAAAATGGCATCATTCTCTTTGAAATATTTCTGGCACGTGTTATTTATTTTTATGCATGTTGTTACTGTGATTTGCAGAAGTGAGTTTTCAAAAAACAGTATTAAACTTGGACCTAACTCATAGTAGCCAGTCAGAAAACACATCGGAAAATAAAGAACTTGTGGCTTTATTCCTTTTACTTAAATGCTCTTGGGAATATGACCTACCTGAACTTTTCTTATCTTAAATAAGAAGGATACCAACTGTAGTATGATGAACCGAAAGCTCTCACCAAGTTGCCTGGCATACAGAGTACTCACAGGCAAACTTTAGAAGACTTAGAGGCTCCAGGAAAGAAAGCAGAGGTTGACTGTTTCTAGTTCTGGCTTTGCTTTTTATTGCTCTCAGGCCTCTGAAAGAGCTATCCTTTTTTTGCATCCTAGCTTCGCTGGGGTAAGATGAAAGACGTAGAGAGATTTCTTGAGGGTGAGCTAGTGTGCTACCCTACCTTGCGGGAAAATACTCCTGGAGAGTAACTGGTAAAGGGTCTTGGCTAGGACCATTTGTTCTAAGAGATATTCAGGGTCTAGGTTTCTGGGAAACTGTTTCTTAAGTCAGGTGACCGACCACCAGTTACCTGCTGTAGGACATCTGGATTTTGCTGCATAAAATGTAAGAGTCTCTGACCGGCCTGGGTGGCCTCTCTGCATCGAAGTGGCTTCTTGCCCTCTTTTGCTATGTGCTTGAAGAGGTAGGTGACGATGTAGTCTAAACTGGTACAGCAGCTGGAGGAGACAACTGTATCTGTACGAACAATAAATGAGAATTCCTTCGCATTACTAAGTGAGTTTTCATCTGATTAATTATAATGCCTCCGATTAAAAAAACCACTTTCTGGTTTCAAAGCACTTTTATCAAATTGTAAAACTCCTTGAGGGCAGGGATTTTACCTTGCTTATCTCTTTGAACCCAGTGTATACTACAAGACCTGGTATAGAGACGTGTTAGTTAAGTAACTGACTCCTGGATTGAATTGGACAGAATTTTCCATTTGTGACCTCAACGATCGTCTGTTCAACTCAAGTGACTTTATTAAACATCTGTTGGTGCAAAGTGCTCTGCTGCAGAGGAAACAGGGTGTGGACCTGGTGCAAAATGCTCTCTTTCAGGGGAAACCTCTACCCTGGTCAAAGAGCTCGTGATTCAGTACATAAGTCACTGCTGCTCAGTGCTAGCCAAAAATGAGCGACACACTGCTGGGCGGATTTTGAGGAAGACATCACATTTGGATGGGGATCAAAAAGACTTTACGAAGGAGACAGAACCTAAGACAGGCTTGGGAAAGTTATTTCAGTTAGAAATAAGGAAGGACATTTTTCAGGTAGAGAGATTCACACAATGTGCACAGTGTGGTGGGAAGTTAGGGATTTTGGAGTCAGACAGCTCTGCTTTCAAATCTCATCTTTTCTAATGACTTGCTATGTTGTTACTCTGAAAGAACCAGTTAACCTTTCTCAGCATTTGTAAAATAACTTGCAGAGTTGAATGAGAAGAAAACAACTAGAAAGTCTCAGAATAAAAACAGCTGATATTTACTGACAGTTTACTGTGTTAGTTACACAAATTATTGTGCATCCTCACAATAGCTCTGTGATGGTAACTGTTATTATCTCCATTTACAGGCAAGAATAGTGAGGGATTAAATGACATGTCCAATGCCACACGGCCGGATGACTGTGGAGCCACTGTCTGAAAATAAACAAGGAGCTGAGGTTCTAGATTTATACTTTTAACCATGAAAATTAATATGCATTAAACAAAATCAGGTTTTAAGCAAAAATACATGTAACCATCAAACACTTTCTTAAAACACAATGGATTCAAAAGATGACAATTACTACCAGTATGCCCTCGTGTTGAAAAGAGGAGGGTGTATTCAGGGAGTAGGACTTTTGGGATGAGTGAAAGAATATATAGGGAGTCATAAGAGAGAAGGCTGACAAAGTAGGTTGGTGTCTTCCTTGAGGGCATCCAATAGTGAGCTGGGACAGTACATTTAATTTGAAAGACAACAGAGGTGTTATTAAAGGCTTCTTTTTTAAAGCAAGCAAGTGACATGATGTAGCAACCATTTATTGACTATCTACTTTGTACATTAGGGTTATTATTCACTTACTTCTAACAATTACTTTGTATATAGTAGGTGTTGTTATTTGCATTTTTCAGTAAGAAAAATGAATTTCGGAGATAAAGAGCTTATCCAACAAAGTTCATGGTTCTGATTCATAGAATGACACTGCCCAGATTTTTTGGCCAAAGGTAATAATGTACGGACACGATCCTGGGGGAGCTTATGATCAGTAACAGAAGTGACAAGAGGAACAGTTAAAAACATTCAAAAATGGCAAAAATGGTAAATGCAGATGAGGAAAGCAGACAGGGAGAGTAGGGCTGGGAACCAGCAGATTATAAACTTCCTAAGGCAGTCATTAATTTCTTACTCATTTTATGAATCTCTTGAGGTTTTGAGACACACGTGCCTTTCCTAGATTAGAGGTGCAATGTTAGTAGGCAAAGCAAGTCTGAGGAAGGTTTTATAGGTCTTGAGTTGTATTTAGTAATAATACCTAGAACAATAGAACACCACAGTTTACAAACTCTTTCATACAAATTGTTTTGTAGAGAAATGGCATAAGAAATAGAAAGAGGTAGGCTTGGTGGAAAGTTCTGACATACAGATAGATAAATGCATTTAAAACAGAGGATAACAGGGGCGCCTGGGTGGCTCAGTCAGTTAAGTGTCCAACTCTTGATTTTGGCTCAGGTCATGATCTCACAGGTTTATGAGATTTAGTCCTGTGTCAGGCCCTGTGCTGTCAGCATAGAGCCTGCTTGGGATTCTCTCTCTCCCTCTCTTTCTGCCCCTCCCTCCCTGTCTCTTTCTCAAAGTAAATTAATAAACTTTAAAAGTAAATAAAAAAATGAAAAAATAAAATAGAGGATAATAGTAGTTGGTGCAGGATCAGTAGGGGTTGAATGAAGGTCTACAAGATGGGAACGGACAATAGTTTAGGGAAACCATAGCGCTATGGAAGCTATATATACAAGCAAATTGTGGCACTATATTTTCCTCTTAAGAAAGGGGCTCTTTTTCTCCCAAAATCAGGGCATTTGATTGATGGATTAATCGTTTATCTCTCCCCACTATCTGGGTTGCTGTGCAGAAAAGGAAGATTAGATTTTATAATTCCAGGAGGTAGTATAATGTAGTGGAAAAGATCTAGGCCTAAGAATCAGGTACAGACTGGTTGAGCTCGGTTGCTTTTCTCTTTTCCTTCACATTTCTACTTTTGAAGTCCCAATCATGAAAGTAAATGGATTAAGTAACTTAATATCTACAAAAGGAAGCGAGCAGGAAATAGATATGGTTTCCCTCACCAGTAAAGAGCAATATGCTATCAATCATACAAAAATTATAAAGACTTCACATAGATTTGGTGACCGCATGCCATGCAGGTTGCATTAAAAGGTTCCACTCTACTGAGTCAGCTATGAAAAAGCCAGGTAAACACTTTAGACATGAAGGTTGGAACATATATCCTTGCAATAAAAGCAAGAAGAAGAGATTCCATTATGGCTGATTTATGGTTGGGGACTTTGAAATGGATAAATGTTATTTTAGGGTAGATTGAAAGGTGTAGAATCATAAGGATCAAGGGCCGTTTGATCAAAAACAGAATGAATAGTGCTAAGGACTATGTATTATTATTGGTTTTCTTTATTTGCAGCTCAAACTATTATGTAAGATTCAAATAATGAAACTCTCCTGACATAAAAGGATGGGCAGAAGTCATGAATTTTCATATTTTGTCCTGGTTCTTGGTATTCAGAATTGTTAAATTTTTTAAAATGTTTTATTTATTTTTTTGAGAAAGCACAAGTCGGGGCGTGAGAGAGAGGGGGGCAGAGGATCCGAAGTAGGCTCTGCCCTGACAGCAGCAAGCCTGATGGAGGGCTTGAACTCACAAACCGCAAGATCAGGACCTGAGCCGAAGTCTGACACTTAACCGAATTAGCCACCCAGGAGTCCCAGTATTCAGAATCTTTTAAAAAAGGATTCATTCGGGGCACCTGAATGGCTCAGCCTGTTGAACATCTGACTTCGGCTGAGGTCATGATCTCATGGTTCATGGGTTCGAGCGCCACATCAGGCTCTGTGCTGACAGCTCAGAGCCTGGAGCTTGCTTGGGATTGTGTCTCCATCTCTCTTTGCCCCTCCCCCGTTTGCTCGCGCGCGCTCTCTCTCTCTCTCTCTCTCAAAAATAAGTAAACATTAAAAAAAAATGACCAAAAAAAAAAAAAAGGATTTATCTGCAATGTAGACAATTAAAAAAAAATTTTTTTAATGTTTATTTATTTTTGAGAGACAGAGAGAGACAGCATGAGTAGGAGAGGGGCAGAGAGAGAGAGAGAGGGAGGGAGACCCAGAATACGAAGCAGGCTCCAGGCTCTGAGCTGTCAGCACAGAGCCTGACGTGGGGCTTGAACTCATGAGCCCTGAGATCATGACCTGAGCTGAAGTCGGACTGCAATGTAGACAATTTTAGACACAATATTTAAGTCGAATGGTCACTTTGTTCTCTCTAGCAACTTGTTGTTTGGCATTAAAACCAAATGCTCCTTTTCTCCTGCAACCGGTCTCCACAGGAAGCACGTGCATCATTAATAAGCCTCCTGTTCACTAGGACCCATCATGGAAAACTGTTCTGAAAAGTTAACTGTATAGGAAAGAGTTGCTTGACTGAGTCAGGAGAATAATAATGGGGCTGAGCTAAAATTTGGCTTTGGCTCAAAATTTCTCACCATGGCAGAAGAGAGGAAGGAGGTCTTAGAAAAATTCAGTGTGAAAGGCAATTTCAGAAACGAAAGGCCTGTCTGGGTGGTGCACAGTTTTGGAAATAGGTGGCTCTGGATTTGAATCTGTACTTTCTAGATGTTTAACTTCATGGAGCTTTAATTTGCAACTCTGTAAAATGTGCTCAATACCACCTACTTTGCAAGGTCTTGTGAGAAATTAGTAAAGTGTGTAAAGATTAACATAGTGCTCAACACACAGTAGGCTTCCCCCTTTTCACTTTCCATCTGTTTTCCTGGCGGTTTCAGTCTCTTAAATACAAAGCCCATCATTTTGTTTGGCAAACTCATAGCTAGCTGTCTTCTACTTTTAGCATGTTTTTGGTGGGAGAAACTAGTGTACAAGGTCTCTAAGTTTCTAAATATTTCCTGAATGTCTTATTTCCATGTTATATTCATACCACTTAATCTAATTCAAGAATGTGTTCAAAATAACAACATATTCTATTCATAATGAACATTTTATTAATAGTGGCCTTGATGAGGAAAGGTCTGGTGGCTTCCAGTTGGTTCAAATTTTCACTTGCCCTCACAATTTGTTTTTGCCTTTTGTGCTATCTTTTACTTCCTGGAATGACCCTCACTGCTGCCCCAGCTAATCTTCAGAGGCCTTCGCTGATCACTTCTAAAGAAGCCACACTTGATCATTCTCTAGTCATTATCCCATTTTAAGTCTTTGTTTAGCACTTGCAATGACTTGACTTTTTCTTGTGTGTGTGTGTGTGTGTGTGTGTGCGCGTGCGTGTTTGTGTGTGTGTGTGTGTGTGTGTGTGTGTGTGGTCATTTATTTATTATCTTTTCCCTCTAGAGTAAAAGCTTCACATCAGCAGGGACCTTCTCTGTTTTGTTCCCTTTAGTACTGCCAAGTACATAGTATGTGCATGATTGGT